AGACAGTAGGGGGAAATGGTAAAGAATTTTAATTCTGCATCAAACAGAGTTGAATGGCAAAAAGTTTCACACAGTCTTGAGGAAACAGAAAGCTAGAGTTGAGGTATGACTCAGCATTTAAGTTCAGCACAGAGATGTAGTATTTATGAAACAAACAGCAGCTTACACAGTTCTCGAGGTAGACCAGGGAGCTCCTCTTCAGATGGGTCGATTGACTCATCCTGTAACACATCAAAACAACAACACACAGCATCTTATCAGATTACAAAAGGCAGAGACCTGGCATGCTGAGTAATGTTTTCTCACAATTAGGCAAATGCTGAAAAATAAAGCTTCATGAAACAAACACACATACATCTCGCAAAACCACCAAACATGCTGCAATGTGTTACTGTTAAAGACATTTTTCACTGACAGCACATCTTGGAACAACTGTTTCAAAGTACCCCAATGATTTCCCTCACCCTACAGTAACATGTTACTCCAACATTAACCAAACTACAATATATATATATACAATATTTCAGTCTTGTCTTCTATATCACAGTGCCCAGTCTGTGCAGCAGGAGTAAAAAATAAACAATTTAATCTATTAGATTAGATTAAACTTTATTGATCACACTGGGGAAATTCAAATTTTGCAGTAACAAAAAAGGAGGGGGGGGAAAGCAGCTGTTTCCTCCTTTACTCTGTGCAAATGTATTTTAAATAAAAAGTATACCATTATGTGTAGTATAGATTGCTGTACTGACATCTAAAGGCTTGAACTAAACTACAATAATACATTGATATTGTATATTATATCACAAGCGCACAATCAATTAGGAATTCGTAAGAAATTCAGTCAGCTAAGTATGATCTACTAATTTTGATTACTTTTGTAAACATCAGTGATGGTCCTATCAAAATCATGGACGACCAAATTCTCCTGTCATTAAACTTCAATTAACCAATTTCTTTCTAAGTCAAATATAATGTCAACGAATGGTGAAAATAACCATCACAATTTACAATGATTAAACAGGTAACGCACACACAAAAGTATGATCTTTTTTCCACATACCTCTGAATTGTTGTCTTGGTCCATGTCTGAAGCACTGAAAGCTGTGTGTAAGAAATAACAGGGTGCGGGCATCTGTTACTAACACAGACACAGTTCAAACAGTTGAAGGCTACTCTGCAGTCAGACCGCCTGTGCTGACGTTGCTTTAGAAGTAAACCGGCTGTTGCTGACTGACGTGTGAGAGCAGTCAATTAACAACGGTTAAACCAATGTACACCAGCTGTGAAGAGTTGCAGACTTTAGAGAGTTAGAGAGCCTAGTTTCTACACGTCATGTTTGAACAGCAGAAGTGTCTCGGTATGAGGCTGTTACACTGTTGACTAGCTAGTCGTCCGATGATAATTGCTAACTTTGGCTAATGTGTGCTAGCAAAAACGGGGCGTTTCTGTCACATATACAATTTTAGAGGGATATCGCATCAAAAGCCGTGACTTTAAAACAGACCTGTATTGTTTTATAGGAATAAACAAGTTGTCTATAATGTAATATCTTTGACTTACTGAGTCAGCTCTCAACCCGTGTATCAGAGCGCACCACCAGTACTAGGTCACTGATTGACAGCCGCGATGCATTCTGGTATATGTTGTCCTTAGCGGTTTGTTAGCGTCACGTAATGACCTGTTGTCAATTGGCATCATCATTAATAGAGATACTTGTAACACATTTGAGGAGAACAAAACGCACTCGTGTTTCGGTTCTTTATATTATTGGTGTATGATAATAACCTAAATAGTCATAAAGTGCTGCATCGCTGTATTTTAGTAAAATGTGGTCTTGCTGAACACCTCAGCTCTTTGTACATGGGCTGCTGAAAGATTACCCATTGGCTGGTGTCTAAGATTCACCAACATTTAATTAAAATAATACAAATGTCAGCTTTTATAAAAGAGTCCTCCCCACCCAGTGTAAATAATAAATAACATATAATAACATTCTGTAATGAAAATTTCAATTCATTTTTTTATGTTTACTGTGCTCTTGGGAAACACACTTGGGAAACTATAAGTGGAATTTTCCAGAACTACTAAAATATGTAATGTATTGTGTAGAACAGTATGGTATCATGTTTGTGGCTCACGAGAGCCACATTGAGTTGGGTTAGTTAATTAAGATATTAAATTCAAGGGTGATTACGTTTACGATTTCAATTACGTTAAAGACTGTCCAAATTAAGTTATCTTTTGCAGGAAAGAGCACACGTTAAATGTTTATTTATTTATTTATTTATTCATTACTGTTTCTAGTCATCTAGTCAGTCACACACAAAGGTTAAAGCAGAGCTGTGTTACAACATATAACATGCCCTCACACTCACCTGTGCTACTACTTTAGTCTCAAAATGCATTTGGATGCATTTTGTGTGCTTGAGTCATGATATTTATAGTCAATTATATATTTGTCGAAAAATCAAAGATTAAGGTGTGTGATCAGTGAATATGTCAGATAGATGAGTGTAAGACACACACATGGGTCTATGACTGTATTTATAAGGTCATCTACAGTAGATGTCATATATTGGTGTGTTTGTCAGTGCAGACTGTACTCCTGTAACCAAGTACAGTATGTAGTTGAATATATTAGTGAAATCTGTGAAAAACATCTATATCCTTATCTGCTATGTGAAAAGTTGCCTTCTGTATGTGCTTTAACTACAAGCAGATGTACTGCTCTGAGGTGTCTTTCTTGTATGGGTATTGACTGTCAAGCGAGTGAGTGCAAGGCAGGGCAGTTGTACTGAGACTGACGTTGGACTGTAGGACTAGTAGACGATAATCGAACAAGTGCATATCACGTCGCTTTTCAGAGAAAAAAAAACAAACCAAAATAAAACAAAATCTAATTGTTCTTTCTTTTCTTTTTAGCCGTACCCATACAAAATGTACCCGTGAGTCCAGCTCCAAATATCACAGCAGTAATTATAAAAATATTTTATGAAGACGAAAACACACACACAACCTATCTCTAACTGGTGTTTGACAATACTGAATTTTCACATTGCCGCCCGACGCTCCACTGCCGTTGATCTAATGATCTAATACTAATAACAGTTAGCAAAGTTCGTCAACATCCGAGTACATCCGTACATCATGACGTGTGAGATGGCAATGAAAGAGCAGTGAGTGGTAACCACTCCACAAACACAGAGCCATGTTCTGTGTGCAACACATGTGGTGTTCTATGAAACGTGTAATGAAAGCGCATACATTATTGCCACAAATATATTGTGATTGTTTGCATAAAAATTGTGCAGATCTAAAAACTGTATTGATCCAGCTACTTTCCTACCAGATTAATAAAGGGATTTCTCTTACTATTTGTGTGGAACTATGTTGACTGTATTGAAAATATGCAACTCTAAAATGACTGTTATTGACAAGGAAAGCACACATGTTGGTCATTGCTGTTAATCCTTCCTTTAAACCTTGTTTGACCCTGCACTGTAGCACCCTGTTGAATAATATCACTGCTGGTTTCATTGGAGGGTGATTAGCTGTGCGTCATCATCCTGAGACATAGAGGTGACATCATTTCCCACAACAATACTCCTGTTTCACCAACAACGCACCGTTCCGTCCTGCGTTGTCCTCTGTAAATCATTTGAGCTTTCTAAATGCTGTTTCTGACGAGTGGCATCGACCGTCACATTTCTGCTTATCAATCCACGTAATTCACCCATTGCAGAAGTGTGTCAACTGAAATGAGTGGCGATGGCCTTGCATGTGAATAAAGTACTGACATGCTGTAAGGTGTCAAATGTCCAGGTGACAATTCTCAGTCAGCATTTTAACATTCCCCTGCAGCAATGAGCTCGCCGGCTCTCTCTGACAGCCTGTCTCTACGGTTTTCTTCGTCTTCGTCTTCCTCAAAGAGAGTGTGATGTATACTGAGCAGCTGGTGTGTCGGTGCTCTGGTCAGAAGTGGAGGTGGTGTGTGGGACTCAGGGTTTTCTCCCTGGGCCAGGTGCTCTATGGGCGGAGGAGAGGATTTGGGACTGAGTGCATCCTCACTGGACGGCGGGTTTGGACTCATTCCATTTACATATGTGGTGGTGGGCAGCGTCACAGTAGAAAAGGAAGTGCTGGTTGATTCTGGAGAGCACACTTTAGTTTCTGAAGAATCAGGAAAAAAATGGCAAATAGAAATGACATTCAAGAGGAGCAAAAACAAGAAAAAAAAGAAAGAAGAAAGTGTTTAAAGGTAAACAACATTTGCAACTTAAATAGTTATTTCATTTTCTAAACTTACTTTCTTAACTTTCTTGTAAGTTTCTTAACTTACATCCTAATCTGAATTTAAAGTTCATAAGAATTTTTTTTAACCCAGTCAGACATGAGAGAAAGGTGTAGAGTTCATCACCTGTGATTGCACCAGACACATGAACAATTGTGTGTGCTCCTTCAAGGTACACAGCATCCATATTGTGCTCTGAGACTAAAGGCTGTGTGGTCGTGGTCTCCACCTTGGGCTTACGAATGGTCAGCATGTACGGGTGGACATCCAGGGAGAAGTTGCGTGCGTGCTTCTTTTCCACTGCACTCAGATCTGCACGTCAGAAATCGGAAAATTAACGTAAAGTGAAATTTACCACTCTTCAGGCATGATTTAAAAGGCATGTACATGCTAATAGACCCACTAGAGCATCCTTTATTTTTCAAAAGAAAAGTGGTTCTGGATTAACGAAAATCAAAAATGATTAAATATCCTTTATCATCAATTATCGGTTGTGTTTTAAACAGACTAGAAGTTAATTATTATGAATGACTTCTCTTGCAAACCAATACAATCCAAACTAAACATCATATCTGCCGATAACAGCTAAAGAAACATTTTATTCACTATGGACCTCAGTCAGTGATGACCTTTGTAATGTAAGTCAAAATAATTCATGTTTAAAAGATGTGGTGTTTCCTGCATGGATACCTTTTGCTGATGCCTGTTGTGTACTCTTGTTGTCCAGAAGGGGTGCAATTAAGCTGTCTGCCACCGTCTTCCGTCTGAGTGGTTTGGGTTTTTCAGTTTTGGTATTGTTCTCCATCCGTGTCAGAATGAGGGGTTCCTTTAATTTGAACAGAAAATACAAGAATATCAACTTAATCTACAATTTAAGTGTCCAAAGTTAGGATGATTTAATAAAAGCTCTGAATATGAGTGTTTTTCTCTTTGATTTTAATCAGTGACGGCTCATGTCTCATGGACACAGATTAAAATGTTTTTATTTAAATTATTTTAGTGTTGATTAAAGTATTATGTAATTATAACCAGTGACTGAGGGTGTTGAGTTACACTTAAAATAAAGGAGACTGATTGTTATAAGCACTTTCTGTATGTAAAAACAAAACTCCTTCTAGAGA